GATAAAGTTAACCTAGCCACTGCTCTTGAAAAGGACCTCCAATCAGTGGTTAACTAGGACAGGAAATGGATTGTAAATTTTCATGCATCCAAAACTAAACTGTTCTCAATTACCCAATATAGAGAAACTTCCCTCGATGCTCGATTCCAGGAGAGTGTCTCACTGCGCCTTCTTGGCCTCACGTTCTCAACTTATTTGAAATGGAACAACTACATTGAATCAATAGCTGCATCTACTGCAAGGAAAGTTGGTTCATTGTGTTGTGTCAGAAGGTTTTTTTTCTCGTTACAGTCCATCTTGCACATTTACAAATCTGTCATTCGTCCAAGCATTTAATACTGTTGCCATATCTGGTCTGGTGCTCCTGTTGTTCATCTCGAGGTCTTTGACACAACCCAAAGGAGGATCTGCAATGTAACCGGTCCAGTTCCCTGACTATATGAATTTAAGCGTGCTACTAGATTGGCATATAGTTCTCACCCTTTTATTGTTGAAAAGGTTAAATGTAGCAGCCATTTCTGCTCCAACAGTTTCTTTTCTCGCACTTCCCGACAGTGCTTTACTTGCTTCCCTGATAACTACAATCTTCAAAAATTTAAATGCAATGTCAATCGCTATCTTTTGTTGTCTTGAACCCCGTTCATTTTTTTCCTCAATACCCCCTATACCCAGTCTTTTCTCTCATTTTTACTCTCTGTAACTCCCTGCATACTAGTGCCACTCCCATCTTGGGGTGAAATGATTAAAAAACATAAACATAAGAAAATATGCATGGGTATAGGCTCTTCACATAAAAAAAAAAAACTCGTGTTACTCGCTGCCTTAGTGAGGAGGTCATTTCCACTAAGGCAGGATGCAAAACAAGTTCTTTTTAAAACTATATATTATCAACTAAATTTCTTATATCAAATACATTTTCTTATCAAATATATTATCAACTAAATTTCGGTAAATTTCACTGTATCATATATGATTAATGGAGAAGCCGAGGTTGTGCTGAAAAATAAATATCGTATGATTTATATATTCATATATATATATATATATATATATATATATATATATATATATATATATATATATATATATATATATAGTAAAGTAAAATTAAATGTTCACATGTCTGTCCCTACTTTGAGTTTCGCGGAGATTATATCCACTGTGGATGTAATCTCCACAAAATTGAGTGTAGGGACAAATAAATAAACATTTACTTTTATTTGTTGCTGTTTTAAAATCTTTTTGATGTTATTTTATTTTTTACTATTAACGCTCTATCTCTTGATATTGAGCACTTTAATTGCAAAAACTTCTAACCTTTAAAGTGTTATCTTTAAGAAATACCTTTTTCTTTTTGGAGGAACACACTTTTTAGTATATCTATGTAAATGAGGGGGTCGCTGAAAATTTCTCAGTTCGACCCAAAGCCCCAAATTAATGTTTTTAAATACATTCTCCCACTTTTTTTCTTTTTTTTACTAAATTGTTAGTGAAACAATATAGAATATTTAAACCAATAACACATAGAATTGAAATTAGTTCAAATCTAATTTCTGTAACGATATAGATGTTTAACATGTATCACGTTTGTGATTTTGTAAAATTCTTTTTTTGATGATACCGGATAATCAGCGAAATATGTCAAGATATTTTTTTTTTAACTGATTCTATTATATATTTCTCATTCCGTCAGAATATGTAATTCTCAAAATGTGTGTGTGTGATTGGATGTTGTTTATGCGTTTCCACAGTTTTCATCTGATTTCGATTAATTTTTTTTTTTTGCTTGATAGATAATTCTTCAGTATCGGTTGTGAGTCCAAATTGGCTGAAAAAAAATTACAACCTTGAAGGTGAAAAAACTTATTTTTACACTTTGCGCAAAAATCAAAGGCAAAATTTAATGTCAGTAAAAAACAGCGTACAATCAATTTAGAGAGTAGAAATCTAATGCAAAAGATTATTAGAATTATAAAAAAATTATATTATAAATAAAAATATTGTATATTATTATTATGACAGGCCATGGAAGAGGTTCCTTCCTTGCAAGATTGAGAACGCAAAACGGCACTTTTCAGAGACCCCCCATTCAAATTGTTACCCCCCAATTTGGAGATGTGCCTCAGTTGCATCCAATTGTTGTTACTAACATTGATTTTCAGGTGGTTTGACTTCAATTGTTACTAATATTAATTTTCAGGTGGGTTGACTTCAGGTGGGTTGACTTTAATTTTTGCCGTTTAATTGGAGCTGTTTCAGCTCGAATTGAACAGCAAAAATTCCTAGTAATGAAACACCTGGTTGAAGACGCGTTATACTGTTAGTATATATAAAAAAAAACTTGATTTAGACAGTATCTTTTATTTTATCTGAAATTTTCACCGTAAAATATTCAATCCATGTGATTAATACAAAAACGTTGGGTTAAGAACATTGATAATAAAGGTGATTATGATTCAATGCGTAATTCAGTAAATGTCTAGTACTTTTATTCTAGGCATATTAATCCATATCAGTATATATATAAAACGCGTCACAATAACTAATCCACATGATGTGGACGCTGCTCGAAGCCATATTTGATAATGGAAAGCATATTTGATAATGAAATCCTGCTTCGCTTCATTAATCTCACATTCGTTGTTGAGTGAGCAGTACACACGTGTCTTACGTCTCTGTTGCTTTAGATAATTTGTATTTTATTCAAAATTTAACTTTCTTAAAATATAAACAACTTTTCTAGATTGTTTATGAAAAGAATATGAAATAATTAAAATGATGGTCCAACACTGGAATTTAAAAATCAAAGTAAAGGAATATAAATACTTAAAACAAGCCATAAAATATATCCTTTGTAATTTTTTTCTTATATAAAAACTCGATTGAAAATTAATTTTTTTTTTTTTACTTTCTTACTCCATGATAAAAGTATTGCTTACATTTATTTTCAATTTATTTTAATGGTGATTAGGCTTTTACATATCCTTGGTAATTCCACGCTTATATACAGTGCCGGATTTACATATGGGCTGCAGCACCGGTATTCCAAGATTAGAAGTAAGGGCTTTGTTGCAAATAAATCGAGAAAAAAGTAAATTTTAGAATAAAATTATTTTCCTAATATCTCTGTGTATTTGACTTATCACAGTGATAAATGTCATTATCTTTCATTATAATATGATAAAAATTCAAGAATCTGTTATTTTCTATCTAATTTCCATGATTTATAATTACTAGCCTGGATATTTGAAGCTGACAATTTTAACAATAAATATAAATATAATTATTTTTTTCAGCTGTGATATCTAGGATCGCAAGGCTGTAGCAAGTCAGAATTTTCCTTCTCTATCATTCTTGTTTTTTTTAGAATTCTTTGCTGGTGAATTTGAATACTAGAATTTCAGTGTAATACAGGCCCTTCATTCTGGATATATTTCTGTAGGATGTGAAGTTCGGATAAAAAAATATCATGAAATTACAAATGAAATAAATTGAACGAGTTCCAGAATCATTCAAATTTTTAGTTGAAGTATTTTTTTGTTTTACACCAAAACAAGCATCATCATCTCTCTCTCTGTCTCTCTCTGTCTCTCTCTCTCTCTCTCTATATATATATATATATATATATATATATATATATATATATATATATATATGACACTGTCATAATTGTTTATGGCAGCAATTGCCTAAGCAGGTAAAGTAGATTTGGGATAATGCTGAGTGGTTTTTCATTTTTTTCACTTCATCAACTACGAGGATATCCTAGTGAGAAGACATTTATATAAAATATCTGGCGATGAGACAGACCGAAGAATAAAGTAGATTTATGTCTTAAAGGTGTCATTGAAAAGTGTCTATATCAGTCTCGGCTGAAATTCGAACTCGGTTTACAGATTCCATTTTTCGTTATGATAACCAATAAGTCATTCATGTATATAGGTGTGTATGTATGGACGTGTGGCCGAGTAGTTCGAACGCCCTCTTTCCGACCATGAGACCTAGATTCATTTATCACCATGATCGATTTGACAGTCAGGTGACTATCGGCTTGAGGTGAGTAGGGCTCCCTGCGGGCGGCAACTTTGGGAAATGCCTGAAAACCACACGTCGGTTGACCTCAAAATTTTCAGTGAAATTTGGTAGATGGAACTGTTTGGAAGCTGTTGATGATTGTGCTTGCACAAAGTCACAAGTCATCGTGATAGAGGAGTTGAGTGTTTTGTTCAAACTGTTGTTCACGTCATATTATGAATTCTCTCCCAGGAACCGTAAGTACGATCCTCCCAGCGTAGTTGCAATATAAACAACAGGTAGGCTCTACCTGTGTTGACTGTTGAACAAATGTGCCTGAGACGCCCTAGCAGACCGGGGTGCACAGGAATGAGTAGCCGCCAATCATTATGTATCATTTATGTTTGTTTGTATCTATTCTAATTATGTTTAATATTCGTTAAGAATAACAAAAATAGTTATGGATAATATTCTTTATGAATAACAAAAACATTATGAGCAGTAATCATTTTAAATAATAAAAAAACATTTTTGGCATTAATCATTATGAATAATAAAAAACATTATTGGCAACATTGGTTACGAATATTAAAGCCATTATGGGCAAGATTCGTTCATAATAATAAAAACATTATAAGCAATATTCGTTAATAATAATAATAAACTATATTTCAATAAAGTAGTTAATATATTTTAGTCAATGATAAAACAATTAGTTTTCAAATGTCATATTTCATAAAAGAACTAATGATAAACAAAAAATGTCATTGTCATATATAAAGTAACAAAAGGTATAAATCTAATCTATCTTTTTTTTTAAAAAATTAAACAAAATATTAATAAACCCATTAATCTAATAGCTTCAATCAGGTAAGCAATTTTAGATAATGGTCAGTATGAAAAATGTATTAGATATCAAATATAACATGGAATGCCAAGAACTTATAGAATATTCCATAAAAACAATGGAAAAAATAGTTACTTACGAAGTCCTGAAGTAAATGGATTGGACGCCTTGGACGTAAGAAGAATATCAGCGACTGTGGGGTATATATAGCCAACAGGTGCACGCATTCACCATATGGTAGAAGAAGTGTAGTCCTAGAGAAGCATTATTATAGCGAGGTACGTGCTTCCCACTCGTCGTCATAGTAACAGGTCAATTCCTTTTATAGACAACCTGTCAGAAACCAAAAAGCCATCTATTTCTCCGAAATTTGAGCCTATTTAGACAGATATGCAGGCAGAGAGATTCTTCTTTTTCTAAAGCTAATTTAGCTGAGCTGAGTCAGGAAAAAGTTTAGAAAACTAACAACAATATTTCGAATGGACGTGAAAAGTTCACTTCCTGTTTCTTATGAAGTGTTTCAGCTAAGACAGTTTTTCTTATCTCTAACATTTTTTTCTGTCTATCTTTCTTTCTATAAGCATCGCCGTTTACACATGTATTGGATATGCGCAAAAGATCCAAGGGCTTTTGTTATGGAAGTGAATACATAATGAAAAAAAGTATGTATGTATGTACATACTCGCGCGCGCACAGACACGCACCCTCAAATATATATATATATATATATATATATATATATATATATATATATATATATATATATATATATATTTTGTTTGGATTGATGTGGGTTTGTGATCCTGGGTTTCCCGCTTTTGTCTGACGATCGCAAAAGAGTGAAACCCAGGGTCATAAACTCACATCAATCCAACCATATGTTAGCTCTATCTCTGATATTGAGCGCTTTCTAATAAGTGTCGCGCATTTAATATATAAATAATTATATACATATTTATATTTATATACACACACACACATATATATATATATATATTTAAAATTTATCTATCTATCCATCTATATATTTAAAATCTCTCTCTCTATATATATATTTAAAATCTCTCTCTCCCTCTCTCTATATATATATTTTAAAATCTGTCTATATATATATATATAATATATATATATATATATATATATATATATATATATATATATATATATTTAAAATCTCTATATAAATTTTATATACATCTAAAATCTATATATATATATATCTAATTAATATATATATATGTTATATATATTTAAAATCTCTCTATATATATATATATTTAAAATCTATCTATCTATATATATAATCTCTCTCTATATAAATTTATATATACATCTAAAATCTCTATATATATAATTAATATATATATATATATAGTATACATCATGTATATATATATATGAATGTGTGTATATAGTTTATATCATATATAAATATATATATATATGATGCATATATATATATATATATATATATATATATATATATATATATATATAATGAATACAAAATATATGTGTGTGTATGTATTTAGTATGCATCATATATCCTGATGATGACAATGCTGGCAGAAACTAGTCGAGAAACCAAATTGAAATAATAAAACGAAAAATATTAATATATAACACTGTGTCTAAAAATTTTAATTTTTTAATACTTTTTATTGTTCAAAACACACACACACATATATATATATATATATATATATATATATATATACACACAAAAACACACAGTATTCATCATATGTCCGAGAAATTCATAGGAAATATACATCCTCCGACAGGAATGGAACCGGTAAATGTTAATACTCTTTGTTAAAATCAGAGCATATATATATATTATCAGGCCCATTATTCCAGCCTGTGTACGTGTGCGCATGTGAGTTCATCACGAGACTTCAATAAATAAACATTATATATATATATATATATATATATATATATATATATATATATATATATATATATATATATAATAATTTTAATTATTTCAGACAATAATTAAAAAATGAAATAAAAAACAAAATTTCGATGAAAAATGAATTTTTACAAGATTTGGTTTTTTTTTGTACTATTTTTCACAATTTAATATTGAATATTTTATAAAGTTTTTGAATCTTTTAAAGTTCAGTTTCGATGAATTATTTCTTAGGTACTTGTTGTTATTGAGTAAGACTATATTCACTAATCATATATCTTAAAGCTTATCACAAAATGAAGACCACCGACTGTTTTAAAAAGAATTTCGATTTGTTTTTATATATGTATATAGTTGCAGAATTTCGGAAGTATGGATATAAAAACCGATAAAGTTATTCTTAAAAGATCACTTGTTGTCCTCACTTATGAATGAGAATAGTCGTTTGTTACTCAAAAAATCCGGAATCAATAAATCGATGAACATATCAATTCTAATTTTACTAAAATAACGTTTCAGAAATATATACTTTATTTTTTGCAAATATACATTATATATATATATATATATATATATATATATATATATATATATATATTGTTGAAACTTGACTAATGCATGGAATAATAATGCTACACAAAATGTACTTAGAACAAAATGTATTGAAACAAGAAAGTGTACAAATATTTACATATAGTCTTTTGTATATTCCTGGTAAGACCGTTCCTGGAGAATGTGTTGACTGAGTCGCAGTTGGGCAGAGTCTCTGGTTGAATCTCTTGATTCCTCCCTCTCTTCCCGGTACCAACCATATTTATATGGTCGGTACTTCACTATGCAAATTAGGTGGATCCTACAATAATATATATATATATATATATATATATATATATATATATATATATATATATATAAACCTAAATGCATTTCGCGCACTTCACGATTTTTTTTGGTCAACATAATCGACCAACTGAATGTGCAATTGGAAAAATTGTTCGTAAATTCAAACAAACTGGGTCGGTAGCCGATGTGAAAACACCACTGTGTGCTCGTTTACGCCGTTCAGCTGAAAACACTGCTGCAGTGCACGAGAATGTGGCCGAAAATCCAGGCACCTATATTCGTGTAATTTTGGATATAAATGAGATTCAGGAAAAAAAACTCTGTGCAAAAACGTGGCCCTGATATCGCATTCTAATAATTAAACTGGTAAATTTAAAGAGCTTTTGACAAAATATTGAAAACTATTTTACAATACACTCAGAACAATATTCTAGAGAATTCTAGAATATCTTAAATTAAATCTAGAGTATTCCAGAAAATTCCAGAAAGCCTCATACAGTATAAAAACAGCTTGAAATAGCCACTCAGAACCACTTAAGGCATCTATTATTGCCCTCTCAAAAGCAGGCAAGTCTACGAGAGAAATTGCAGAAATTGCTATAACCTTGCAATCAACTGGCTCTCGAGTACTTAGGGCACATAATGATGCCACTCCTGCTCCAAGGAAGGAAACAAGGGGACGAAAGAAAAAGATTGATGATAGAACTGGCAGGGTAATCACGAGAGAAGAATAGGACTATAACTAGCCAAGAAATTGCAGCCAGTCTAAGCGAAGAGCAAGATACTAGTCTTGCCTCTTCAACAGTCCGTCGGTGGCTGTTAGAACAAGGCTACAAATCTTGTACACGAAGGTTTAAGTCGCTAATAAGCAAAGCCAACAAAGCCAAGAGACTTGAATGGGCTCACTATTACAAAAATTTCACCGTAGAAGACTGGAAGAATGTTCTCTTCTCCGATGAAACGAAAGTTGAGCTAAATTCAAAGGATAAGCGATCTAAAATCCGAAGAAGAAGCTTTGAAAGCTCTTTGAATTTAGCAGTAAGTACTGTCAAGCATCCATTCAGTATAATGTTCTGGGGATGCTTTTCTTTTCATGGAACTGGTTTGTTAAAACCTATTGAAAAGACCCTTAGGAGCGAGCAGTGCAAGAGAATTTTAGAGTCTTGTCTGCTCCCTTCTGCTGAAAGGGTGAAAATCGACCCCACAAAGCTCATTCTAATGCAGGATAATACTCCCTGTCACAAATCAAAATTGATGAAGGAATAGTTTGATGAGAAGCAGGCGAGTGTTATGACATGGCTGCCCCAATCTCCTGACCTCAACCCCATAGAAAACTTATGGAGCATTATAAAGTACAGGATCTCGAGAAAGCAGTTGAGCAACAAAGAGGATTGTGAATTTCATATCCGAATGGAATTCAATGTTTGGAGATGAGATTTGCCAGAACCTAATCGATTCAATAACAAAAAGGGCTTAAAAAGGTTATTCAAAATAAAGGAAACCCATAGATTATTAAATATTTCGAACTATATTACCTAATTTAAATAAATTATACCTCTATTATTCTTTATTTAAAGCTGTTCGGTCATATTTCTATTGATTACTAATTGCAGGAAATAAGTGAGTCACTTTTTTTTGCACAGAGTTTTTCCCTAAATTTCATTTATATCCAAAAGTAGAATACCTTAGGGCGAGTAAACTTTTTTTGCTAGGTGGTCAAGAAGGGGTCTTTATATTAGTAAGATTAAAAATTAGTTTGACCCCCAAAAACAATAGGCGAAAAAATTTTTAAGTAAAAAAAATCAGGTGAGTCACTTATCGAACAGCACTGTATATAACATTATATATATATATATATATATATATATATATATATATATATATATATATAGGGGTTTATAAAAATACTTTTACAAATTTTGGGTTCGGGTTCCTCACACGCAGACAAGTGTGTGTGTGTGTGTGTGTGTGTGTGTGTGTGTAGGCGTATGATGATTGAAAAATAGGACATTGGGTGTAATGGGAAGGGAAGTGGAAAAGGAGGGAGGAAGGAATGAATGAAAAGGGACAGGAATGTAAGTGTATTGTAAGTGTATACAGTAAAAAGGAAAATCAAATATGTAACTTGTTATGAAGGGTGGCGGCGCGTGTCTAAAAGGTAACAATGTTTTTTTTTTATTTTAGATTTTTAACCGGCTTCATATTCACCAAATAAAAATTGTTTTATATGAGGGCAAGGGCTTAAAATTTAATTTTTGGTTTAAAAGATTTTTTGGGTTTGGGAATGTCATAATTGCTAATTTATCATATTGGCATAGTTAGGAAATGCAGGTATAATTGTTATATACTTTTACCTTATTTAAAATTGTCATATGCCTGTTATTTTTTAAAAGATAATTATTTAACGGTATTTGTGGTTTTTTGTTTAAATAAAGCGTTAAAGTGGTCATTTTGGAATTAACGCCCGACGAGACCGCCTGGTCGAAACCATGGTCGCGTATTTTAATTGACCTCCTGATTTTTAAACTTAAAAGCTCTATATGTTATTTTTATTTTTACTTATTTTTTTCTCACGTGTATTGAGCACTTTTTAATACTACTGTTCCCTGGTCTGATTCAATCCTGACCATTAACCTTTATATATATATATATATATATATATATATATATATATAGTTCATGTGTTCCTATGTATGCATGAATTTTTCGTTTATGTATCTTTTTAACTTTCTTCCTGTTTATCTCTGATCACCCCCTAATATGTATGCATTGTATATGAGCAAAAGGTCCTTCTTTCCTGATTGTTAGTGAATTTACAGTCAATACTTGTTACATCCTCCCCCCGCAAATAGTGTATATATATATATATATATATATATATGGTAAACGATATACAAATTTTTATATATCAGTGCCTTTTTAGTCAAATTTGCCTTTCTTGGCAGATCTTCTATTATAACAATCTGGCATATTTAATAATAAATATGGTAAAAACCATAACGAAATGAAAAAAAAAAATGAAATCAGCTAGACCATATATCTAAATACTTATGAAATACAAAATTTATATTCAAATTTCAGTGTTTCTTCTCCTTCATGCGAATCGACGTAAACTTAGTCCTAATGATGTCCTAATGCGTCACATAAAAATCTTTCTAAATGATTCGCATCCAATCAAATATAATTCTACATTTTAATTATTTCCTCTTTACTGTTTTATGCGTCAAATTTTTCATTTGAATAATCGGTGCCAAATTATTTTGTATCCGATGTACATCTGAGTCTTTCTGGGTAAACTTCTATTTTTTTTTTTTAATAATTCTCTTTTTTTTTTTATAATAATGATTTTGACAAAAATAATCATTATTACTAAATGTTTATTCTCACTAGGTGCTCAACATTTAGTAGTAAGTACTATTCAAGCCATTAGCATACCTAATATCTAAAAAAAATTAATTATCCGAATCTTCTGTTTAAGTTATCAAATCTTTCACGTTTTCTGTTTCCGCACTTTAGCAAGTCTCGAATCATTTATAGTACTTAGGAATTGGTATGCAAGTGTTTCTTATTTGTAACTTACTTTCTGTACCTACTTGAATATATATATATATATATATATATATATATATATATATATATATATATATATAGCATAATTACCTATTATATTTTAATTGCCTTTTCTCATTCGGTTGCAACTGGGATCTTACAATTCGATTGTATTTTTACTCCTTACAAAAATTGAATTACACAATTCTGATAACTACTTTGCATATCTTGTATTAAAAACTTTTCATATATATGCGCTATTTTCAAAGGGCGCACATCTTAGATATTCCTTGCGTTCAATCATCGATTGATTAGTCAGTCAATGGAAATAATTTGATTTTAAACCATGTTTTTTTTTAGATCAGTTCTGGGATTTAACTTCTTTCGAGCTAACATTTTCCCAAAGTGATCTCCTAGCGACACTTTATGTATCTAGACATATATAGTAAAGTGTTGGAAATATTTTTTGTTAATCGTTTCATCCAAAGCAAAGAGATAAAATCTACTAAGATGCAATAGGTTACTGAGAGTGAAAGAAATAGTATAATAAAAGGAGATGATTCAGTTAGGGAAAAGTTGACGATTAACGTTAAATGTAAATTTTTGAAGATAGTTAACTAACACTAACAGGAAAGCAAGGAACAGAGAGAGAGAGAGAGAGAGAGAGAGAGAGAGAGAGAGAGTCCCACAAACCTGAAGTGCGTGAGAAAACTGTTAGCGTAGAACTCAGAAAGAAGTTTTGCTCTGCCATTCCAAATTGAATAAACTTTCAATTATTCTTAAAATGTGTTTTTTTTTTGTTTTTTTTACTATTATAGAAATAACAATAAATTTTTACGAGATGGAAGTGTTACTAAATAAATATAACCAGAAATACTTGAATCCCCCAAAAAGTTGCGTACGAGAAATGCCAAGTTTTTCAATGGGTATATATGCAAGCAAAGAGATAAGTGGGATATATAAGTGAAATGTGATTTTCTTCGAAGGCCGAAGAAGTAAAAGGAATGGATGATATTTTAACGATGTTATGTTTTCATTGAGGGCCTAGCAAAATATCTAATCACTTCATTCCTTACATTAAGAAATTTATTTTTCACTTTAGTTTGATATACAAACAATTTGTGTATTTCAATGTGTGTGTGCATATATATATATATATATATATATATATATATATATATATATATATATATATAAAAATCAGAGATAAACGGAAAGGAAGTTAAAAAGATATCGGAGGCTCGGTGGATAGTAGTAGATAGTGGCTCAGGTTGAGCAATCAGAGAGCCGAGTTCGAATTCCAGTCGAATCCATTACATTCACTTGTGTGCTAATACGTAATACTCTTCTTCTCCCTCCAGCTATAGGTAAATAGCAGGACAGACTGTGTTGCTTTGGATGGCAACTGGACTGAATTCAAAACTTGCGGAGGTGTTGTTTGGGGATCTTGTGGCATTTCAAAGAGCCTTCACCACTCAAATCCTATGTGTTGGTGTCTGGCTGTCGGTTCCTAGCTTGACCCTCATGCGTCGATTACGACGGGTGAGTCTACCATATATATATACTAGTAGTAGAGCCCCGGCGTTGCCCGGGGATGTAACAGTAAGAGATAGATCAAGTATCGACCATCATAAAGACTGAAAAATAAAATTGACAAAGATTATTGTTTAAGGTTGACTGACACGCATGTCTTAATTAGTTTTTTGTTTGTTTGTTTTGTTTTGTTTTTTGTTTTTTACGAAATGGTCAAACTCAAACTCAAACAAAAACATTGTTTTCAATCGTTATTGATCTACCGATTGAACAGAATTTTATTATAAACAATTGTCTTGTAAATGGAATTTTTAAAGCATTCTGAATGTAAAAATAAAGAAAAAAGTGTGCAAGACAATAAGAAACACTACCTGCCAAAAAAAAAGTGAAGTTTTGTTGAAATTGGTTGAAAAAATGTCGGAAATCCGATCCCATATATAAACGAACACACACACACACACACACAACCTGGGTTTTATAATAAGTACAACTCGATATGAGTTGTCCCCCTTTCATTCTCGCGACAGCGATGCCTCTTAATCGTGTTTTCAAATTGATTTTGTGCAAAAACAATTGTGTTTTTCCAATTTTTGCCGCTGTCAGAGCCACCGCAAGGTAATTTTACGTAGTCCTGTGAAGTTTTGTTGAAATCGGTTAAAAAATGTAGGAAATCCGATCCAATATATAAACGAACAAGCAGACACACACACACAAGTTGGGTTTTATAATAAGTATGATATATATATATATATATATATATATATATATATATATATATATATATATACCCGCGTTAAATACGACTGTGGGATTTCCATAACTGCAGTGATAGGCTGAGAGCCTTGACCACTGTTTGATATACATTTTGCACTAAAATTTTACAATTTAATCTTGATTTTCCGACATACTCTGGTACGAACATGCGAGTTGGAGATGAATATCCTTGTTAAGATCTAAAACTGCTTCCACGTCATTTCTCCATACTCTACCCTGCAAGACGAGAACTTGCAATTTGATAGGGATGCTTCACACTCGGTACGTACACGTAATTTTACTGTATTAGTTCTCATCACTGAGATCCTTGGTACGATCAATGACAGGCCCAAAATATCTGTATTATATATTATTTGGATGCATTCTAGTCATACAAACATTTTCTATTAAAGTCAGTTGAGAGCGAATTTAGCCTTGGTTGAATAATCATTCTCGGGACTTCACACTTTTACATTAGCGTCCCTTCCATTTTTCCAAAACAGTCTCTATATTTCAGCAACTCTATCACTTGTACTCTCCTTAATCTCGTCCACCGTCTGAAATCATCTATCTTTCATCGACCATAACCAGAAGTTGCAAAGAGTAAAATCTGTACTGTACAGCTGGAGGCCGACAGATCTAGGAGATGAAATGTCTTGCCAAAATATCCTCGTACCAACGCAAGGAATTGACTCACATTATCATCGTGAATGCGGCAGCTACAGAGTACACATGTTCACTCAATGTGGTCTCATTGCCAATTGAGTAACTCCAATTAGAGTTTTCGGTTCAAGCATGCGCAGTAAGGTATCCTCTGATTGTTATTAAAGTTACATCCAGGCCGCACAAACGGTTCCCGAGATATCAAAATGGCTGAAACTTTATATATCAGCTGAAAACGTTTTCTTATTTTTTTTAGTTTCATTAGGTTAAAATGAAGAAGTAGAGAAGAAATTTTGATCGAGAAGGAATCTTAAATTACCCCCCCCCACACACACACACACACCAAACCCTCAGTCCTCAGCGCCATCTTCATCTCTCTGTCCATATTAACTTCACATCTCTCTGTTTCCGCTAACAGTAAACACTACAAAACAAGAAAAAGTTGTAGAATTCTCATTGTGCGGATATGCAAGTGTTGGTGTGCACGTTTATCTCTTCTTGATATTGTCTAATTCGTAATGGTGCATATTTGACATTAGTACGTCACTGGGACTGGAGATGGTTCGAATGAAACAAAAGAAGACGTCAACGAAACGTGCCAGTTGCCTTTTTTATTCGCGGCGAACTTTGTATGGCAAGCATAGAATTCGTTTTCAAAATGGTGGAAAGCAAAAATATTACGGAAAGCATTAGTGTTTTTTTTTAATTACTTCTAAGTACCATTCCGCAGATTTATAAACAACGACGTCAATTGTAGCACGATAGTTAGCACCTGAACGCCACAGTAATAGGTACCAATTGTTTTCTGAAAATCTAACATGATATATTTCCAATGACGACGTTAATTTTATTGTTTTTGATACAAGGTTTCAGCTGATATCATATTTAGTTTTTCTGTATTGTCCGAAGTTTTAAAGATTAAGTATTTGCAATATTCCATATATTTTTTACTGATTTGTTCATTTTATCATCTCGTTATTGCTTCAACCTCTCGACAGCCAGGCATGATAATCCACAACTACTCCTGCTTATAAACATATGTAGAGTAGGCCAGTCCCTAGGGAACCTTGGATATGGTTAAGATCAGGCAAATAATAAGCAAATATGTGATGCTGAACCAGTTATTTACTGTATCCCATCTTAATTTAGCAAAACAAAACACGTACTAATCAATTAAGATTAGAAACCATAAGAGCCATGCTTGGTGTAAAATCTGGTCTATTATTATTATTATTATTATTATTATTTCCTTTGATTTCTGTTGTATACTCATTTCCTTCCGGGTCCCAACCAGAGACCTAAGGTCATAAATGACATGATGACATTTTCCACTGTACTTTTTTTGTAAAAAAATAAAATAAAAATAAAACACTCTAAAAAGCACACATTTTACATAGATAAAGCCCTATGTAGTGTGTGGACTGTGCTTGTGAGAACAATTTTTTGAATCTTTTTAAGGCATGAGCTTCCAGAGATCCCTTCACTTAGTCTATCAGAACCTTTTTAATCAAACTCCAACTGGAATTTTGATGTCTTCATGTACCATATATTTTTGAATTTCAGATCAAGATCCTTGTATTATGATAGTTGTTTTTGAAGATCTTCAAAGCTACATTACTCTGCAGGAACTGTCATATCAATAAGAACTATTATTATTATTATTTTTATTATTTGTACTCACATTTTGACATAGTATCATAGTACCATTCGTCCTTACTTTGAATATTGCTGCTACATCCAGTCTGGTGCTCCTGCTATATATTTAGAGATTCTTCATAAAATCCAAAGAAGAATCGGCAATGTTATTGGTCCTGGTCTGATATCTTGGCTCCAGTGCCTCTCTCTCTCACCGCCGTAACGTAGCTTCCTTTGCTTTGTCTATTCATGGTAATTGTTCTGATGAACTTTCCGCTATGGTAGTGATTTTCCAAGCGTAGCTTAGATGTGGCACAAGGCCGAAATTAGGGGGCACCCAGTGAGAATCGAACTCACTACTCAGTCGTAACTGTTCTAGCGAGACAAGCTTGCTAACCATTATGGTATCTAGACTTTATGAATTTAAACACAGTACTAGATTGTCGACAAGGTGTCATCATTTTACAGTTGAAATGGCTAGATGTAACCGTAAGTTCTATACTAACACTTTCTTCATTCACACTTCTCGCTTGTGGAAATCTTTTTCCGATTTATTGCTTCCAAGTCAGCTTTGATCTCCACAAAATTAAATGCAATGTCAATCGTTATCTTCTGTCTTTTTTTTCTCGTATTCTCTAACACTCAGTAACCTCTTGTGTCTTAGTGGCTTTATTGCTTTGTTTGAGGTGAAATGATTTGAAAAAATTCGGGGACTCATACGGGAAATTAAGTGACAGCAAGTCTCCTCATTATTGCAGAACTCTCCTTAGTATTCTTGCTCATTTTAAAAACGATTAATTGTTTGTATTGATTGAGTCTTCACTCCAGATCATGTGACAGCCAATCTCCTTAATAATTTTGCAATCAGTACACTAAACGGATTTTCGAGATTGCTCTAAGCCTTGGAATAACGAAGAAGATCAGACTACCTTAACAAAATTTTCACAAATCATAGTTTATTTTAGTTGCTGGTTACATAGTTGTTCCAAATGTGTGGTTTTCTTTCTCTAGTTTTAATGTCTGACAATGAAACACACTGCTCGTTTACAATTGTGATGATGATAGAACAATAGTCGTATGAGAATATTTTAAATGCCAGGATGGTAATCTGGTGGTATATTAACTCGTATATATGGAACTCTACCTGCCGGATTGTCACAAACTCTATATAGGTACGAAGGTACGATTTGTCCATTAACTTGCGCTCTCTAACGGTTTCCTATCTCCCTAAAAACACATAACCTGTTCTCCATTTGACTAAGTTCTGATAAACTCACTCCTGAAAACTATTCTTTATATGAAACTACCGTCGACTAAACAAACCGCATGGCCCATTGACCGACTTGACCGAATTTCTCAGAAGACTCTTTCTCGAGAATTATTCTGTCTAAGAAGCCACACCAATCCGATGGATAATTCTTTATGTGAACAAATTAAACTTAAGGGTTTTTAGAGATATTTTTTTCGGCTGAAAAAGTAATTTTTTGTCATCAGTTTCACCCGACTTGTCGAGAAGAGTGAGTGGGTGCCGGACTGTACCCAGTTGTATGAAGTTATTTCCAAGATAATATTCAGGTTCAATTCCTAAAGACGTTTTCTACCTGTATTTTTCGAAACTAAATTTCTGGAATTTTATCCCCATTTAATACCAAAAATTAAACGCAATGAAGCTTTTACCCAGGTTTTTCCCGGTTTATGCTATAAAATATTTTAACATTTAATTATTCGTCAACCGTCATCAAGCCTCCTTCAGGGTGTACTTGGTGATATTGATAATATCACGTGGAGGGTTTAAGTTTTTTCCTCGGATTTCTAAAAGGCTCTTTGGGAATGTTCTCATGCGCGTCACTCCTAATGATGTCACTTCTATGTTCCACGGTTCTTTTTCAGTCCTCTAGCAAAGTATAGATATCTATAATTTTTCACTCTGAAGTCATTTGAAACTCTAACACCCTCTGTCAGGTTTTCTTCTCATTTACAATGACGGGAGCTGGTCTTCTGGTTTGGATTGAGTAATCCATTTGAATTTCAAATTCCTAGAAGTTCACAGTTCACGAGGTCATCTTTTGATTCATAAATATAACATTGGTTTGTAATATCGGTTTGAAAACAAATTTTCTTTTTTATAACAATGTACATTGTTTACACTATCTACATTGTTCGGACTGTTGTCCTGATCTTTCTTGTTGTATTCAAGATAAAGACAACAGTCTGAATAATGTAAATAGCGTAAATAATTACAATACCTCATCTCAAAAATATAGACAGATATTGAAGCAACAAAGATGAGGACAACAGCCCGAACAATGTAGTGTAAATAATTACAATACTTCATTTCAGAGATATAGACATATCCTGAAGTAGGCCAAAATATACAACGGCTGAAATGTCGTGAATATGATAATAAAGATGAGGACAACAGTCTGAACAATGTAAATAATTGCAATATCTCATTAGAAATATAGACAAACAATGTCTTTGTTATCTTGTTTGCAAGTCCTTTTATTTGAAACATCAATAGAGTTTTTTCTCTTTTTCCTTTTTCACTTTTGGCTTCTTGTTTTGGATTTTTTTCTGATAACTTTATTTGTTCTCCTGTGCTTTCTATTACAGCTAATGGCTTTTATAATGAATCCATTTATTAGTGTTTTGTATAATCATCAAATTTCTTGACATCAGTGTCGACACAATTTGCATTGTTGATAAGTCTTCTTTCTGCCATTTTACCTTTCGTATTGTCCATCAGTAATCGCTCGAGTCAAAATACTTTTTTTATCAACTCCTTTGTTTTGTGATCCGAAATTCTCAATTCATTCCTTGTCGAGATTAGGAAGGATCCCGAACACAATTGCAACTGTCCATATTTTGATAAAGTTAATATTTTCCTTCTTCTTATGAAGTATATTTCATTGATCGCTTTCTTTCATCTCGTTCCACTTGACCGAGTCCGCCTTACATATTTATACTAGTAATAATTTGTGGTAGCCAAGTGACTGCAAATCAACTCAGAACTCTAGCTCTTCTCTCTTCTATTATTGTAGTTGTTTGAATATTTTTTCCATCTAAAGCAGTTTTTTAACATACAGGGTTTTCCGTGTTGTCGTTAAGTACTTTAGTAATTATGTGTTATCTCAGATTCCACATGTTTTTTTTTCCTGACACCTCGTCTACGGACTGCTAGAATGGCGACATCCACTATCTGAGAGATTTTTTACTTTGTTTACGATGTCTAAATGTTTTTCTCTTTGAATATTTACGTATTTATCAGTCGTTAGTATCATTTGAGTTTTACTTCTTTAGAGATTGTTACTTCCATGTAAATAAGATAAAGTATAAAAAAGAAGAAAGAAGAAAGAGGACGAAAAGCAAAAGACGATGAAGAAAGAAAGAAAAAAAAGAAACAAACAAGTAGTTAGAAAAGATGAATGATAAATTTGGAAAGAAAGAAAAAAAGACGCGTGATAAATGTGGAAAAAAGAAAAGACTTGGTAAATTTGGAAGAGAAGAAAGATAGAAAGAAGATGCGTGATAAATCTGGAAAGAAAGAAAGGAGATGCATAATTAATTTGGAAAGAAAGAAAGAAACGCATGATAAATTAAAAAGAAGACGCATGATGAATTTGGAAAGAAAGAAAGAAAACTCATCTGCCTAATATTTCTGAGATGAGGTATTGTAATTATCTACATTATTTACATTGTTCACACTGTTGTCTTCATCTTTATTACCATATTCATGACGTTTCGATACAACCAACACTTTTATCATGGCCCAGTGGATAAAAGCGTTGGTTGGATCTAGTGACTTGACCCAAAGAGCTGTGAGTTAAATATACTGCAGTGGTGAACAAAAACTTGGAAAGTTGAGTTAAACGAAGATAATTGAGATATCCGGAGGAGAAGTGGCACGTGGAATTAGAACAATCTACTCCTCTTGAGTTAGAAGTCATGGTCAGAAAAAATACAAAATAAATAACACTATTGTCCAACGAACGTAATTAACAAAGTTTGCAATACAAAAAAAAAAAAAAAAAAGTGGGAGGGGGTGAAATAGTCAAGCAAAGCAAATAAATATATTCAAAGCAAATCAACAGGTAAGAAGGCAAAAGAGTTAACAAACTATGAGTTGGTGTTTGCACACAAAAGCAAAGTCGGAAAAGCGAACGCAGTAAGTCTGTCTAGTAGATAAGACAGATCTGGATTGAGTCATGTCAAAACGCCAGCCGTCCCATTTTATTGGATAAGAAAAGTATCCCAGCATGCATTTTGTGAACTTCTGACTGTAAAAGGAGAAGGGGAAAAGATTTGCAAGCATTCCTTTCCCTAAGTGAAATGAAAAATCCCGGTGGGCAAAATATAGGGTTCAGTCTGAAATTCGAATCATCTGAAGAAGGCCGAAGCGTACAACGACCGAAACGTCGTGAATATGGTAATAAAGATGAGGACAACAGTCCGAACAATGTAAATAATATAGATAAGTAACCGCATGATAAATTTGTAAAGGAAGAAAAATGACACATGATAAATTTGGAAGGAAAGAAAGACGCATGATAAATTTGGAAGAAAAGAAAGAAAGAAAGAAAGAAAGAAGACGCATGATTAATTTGGAAAGAAAGAAAGTAGACGCATGATAAATTTGGAAGAAAAGAAAGAAGACGCATGATTAATTTGGAAAGAAAGAAAGTAGACGCATGATAAATTTGGAAGAAAAGAAAGAAAGAAAGATGGCGCATGATAAATTTGGAACGAAAGAAAGACGCGTGCTAAATTTGGAAAGAAAGATGAATGTTAAATTTGGAAATAAGATAAGAGGTTTCATTGGAATTCATTTCACAAACATCAGTTTTATTTTTATTGTTGGTGGTGTTGTAACGCCTCCACATAAAAGTTTGATTAAATTTTCCAGATCCCCAAAACAAACAAAAACTTTCTCCGCATGCGTAGTCACTTATGCCAACTTACAGAAACATTCAATTACATTTATTTATAGTTATATACCGACCATCTCTCAGTAGGCTTTATTTTATTACCAAAGGAAAGGTACTCATTCCCAAACTGGAAAGAATATCTGCTGTAGAACGAGGGTTAGAATTTAAGTCTCATAAGTCATTACTAACAAGCTGATCTATGAATATCTGCCTTCTAAATAAAACTGGTTTAGCTCAACAAATGTCCATACTTGGAATTTTCACTTTTCATATTGCATTGGTAATCTTGAGACTAGGGCACTTATGCATTAGTCATTCAAATCATTCATTAAATTATTCGTATGTTTTCTTGTAAAAGATCTTACTCTTATTGGCGTAAATATCAGCACATAATCAATAAAATAGGGATTTCAGTATTAGATTAAAATTTTTAAAGTTTTAAAGAGGTCAGTTTTCAGTGGGTTTTTTTTTTATGGCGATTTAACCCAGAATTGTTACATTGGCATACCTTTTATCCCATAACTTTAAAATTTAAATTTTGAATCTCACTCCATGCAACTTTTGGGTGCAACTTTTAAATTAATCTGGGCTAAATTCGCCTACTAATAAGAAAACGTCAAATTACAACTGAATAACGTTGGACTTGCAAATGAAGCCCAATTCGCTGCTTTCTGCACAATTTGGTGACCCACACATGCGCAAATGATAATAAATAAATAAATTCCAGTTTTCAATTTTGTAAAATGATTTTCTTAAATGGACGTTCAGTCAAATGTGAATAAACATTGAAATATCAACAAAATGACCTACATAAAAACGCTGAAAAATATTTCTGGAATTATTTTTATCTTTTATATTTGATGAGCAAGTATATATATATATATATATATATATATATATATATAATAAATCAAAAAGTTAAATAAAATCGTATAATTTAAATCTAATATCAAATAAACTTTATTTCAAATACCAGAAATTTAAACAGGAGACACACACACACACACACACACACACACACACACACACACACACACACAGAAATAAAGATAGGGAAACTAAGTTGAATCCGATGGAATGCGGTGGTAAAAATAAGAACAACTTCAGATTCCACTGACGCTATATCAAAACAAGAAAATCCACATCGCCTCGTCACTTATGCAAAACAGAATCCATATATGTTACCACCGATATTAACTCGGCACCGCATTTTCACATATCTGTCCCAGGGAAGGCACATTGAAAATAGGATTTTTTTAAAGTCCATCACCTGTTAGCAATTTATATTCTAATCGTTTGTACTTACATTCCTGTAAAAGTTGAATAGTTTCTGTTGTTAACACAACGCTATCATGAAAAGGAGACCTATCCCCAAAAAGAAGAGATTTGAGAGTTCGAACAATGTTACATATTCATATGAATAACTTCTCAAAGTTATTGGTAATACACTGGTAATAATCCACATATATAAAACTCATTGTATATATATATATATATATATATATATATATATATATATATATATATATATATATATATATATATATATATATATAATATAAAAAGAACAGTAAGATATATAATCCGATGTTCTTATAGATATTTTTATTTTTACAAAATAGTGCTCAATGTAAATTTACAGAGCATTAATATTATAAATTAATTGATTTAAAATATTTTAAAGTTGTATTTAAAATTGTAGTTAAAACGAATTCTAACCCAAACATCTTTTAAAATTGTAGTTAAATAAAACGTATTCTAACCTAAACACCTCTCTCAAAGTACTACCGGCACTTAAATGAATCCAATAAAACACCTACAGTAAAATGAAATTATGATGAAATGCTAGAAGATGTAGGCCATTGAATGACCCATGTCCTTTGTACATACATGAGAAACTATATATTACTGAGTTTATAAAAAATAAAGTTTACTAAATCAGAGAAATGAATTAGCTATTTTTGCCGTAATTGTCATAAATTTCACTTAAATAATATTTAAATATAAAATTTTTAAATATTGTGACCTGGTAATATACATACTTATACTTAATATGGAAAAATAATTTTACTTACTGTAAGTAATTCTAATACATTTACTTATTTTAAAAAGAAATATAGTCTATTAAAATTAACAGTGAAAATATTTTAAAGTTGTATTTAAAATTGTAGTTAAATAAAACGAATTCTAACCCAAACATCTTTTTAAATTGTAGTTAAATAAAACGTATTCTAACCTAAACACCTCCCTCAAAATACTACAAGCACTTAAAAGAAACCAATAAAATACCTACAGTAAAATGAAATTAATATGAAAAGCTAGAAGATGTAAGCCATTGAATGACCCATGTCCTTAGTACTTACATGAGAAACTATACATTACTGGATTTATATAAAATATATAAAAAATAAGTTTACTAAATCAGAGAAATTAATTAGCTATTTTTGCTGTAATTGTCAAAAATTTTACTTAAATAATATTTAAATATACATTTAAAAAAAATTTTGACCTAGCAAGATACATACTTATACTTGATGTGAAAATAATTTTACCCACTGTGATTCTAATACATTTACTTGTTTTAAAAAGAAATATAGTATATTAAAAATTAAAAGTGAATTTTTTTAAAAAATCGTTGTTAAATAAAACGTATTCTAACCTACCCCCCCAAACATCTTTAAGTATATAAATAGAAAAAAAAAATGCCGTAAGAATTTTTGCCGTTAACAATAAATTTTTAAAAAATCCAGACGATATGCATTTAACGGATGTCAGAATTCATTGAAAAATACATCCCTACCCCTACCAAAACGTAACTAATAACTGATACAACAAAATACAGCGATAATGAACTCGCAAACACCCCTTGTCTAGATGAATGGGTTTCTCTGTATCCTTGGAAACGTGAATTAAGATTTTTGCTGTGCTTTTAAAACCCAGTAATAAGTTACTCCAAAATTCGCTTGAGGATGAAATGGAACTAATGTCTTTAATTTAATTACAAAATTAAATTCGAAGCTTTTAGCTTCCATTTTGGAAACATGGTTAGAACTGTGTAGCGGAAAAATATTTTAAATCAATTAATTTATAATATATATATATATATATATATATATATATATATATATATATATATATCAAATATGTGGTGCAGCTCAATTTATATTACATGAATCATTCATACAAAAAACTGATTAGTGAAGTTAATGATATAAATGGCGAGAATACATCTTCGCAAACAAATTTATGAAGATTACATTAACCCACGAACCTCTAGATGAATGTTGTGATCCCTGTTTTTAATAAATTCAACTTGTATAAGGTCTTTTTTTGCTAGTACTTTCATCTGTTCATAAAGACATTATCAGGCATAGAAATTAATTTGTTTTTTTTTTTTTTTTTTTAATACATCCAGGTAATAACGGGACACGAAAGATTAGATGTGAGTCGAAATATGTTTTTTTAAAAATGTGTTATTGTTAACTGCAAGAAATTCTGGAGCGTGCAGTCGCAACGCTAAGGTTGAATTTTTTGATAATTTAAGAGAGAGTGCGTTTTCTTACTAATATGGTAATTTGAGAATTTTTTTTGTTGTAGGAGTTTTTTTCAGTCGATGTGGCATGAACTAAATTGTTCAATAAATAGAGCAATGTCACAGCTATTATCCCAGAAGTTGCACGTTGGATCAGTTCTTTTTAAATCAAATATGTGGTGCAGTTCAATTTGAATCATTCATACAAAACAAAAACCAAAAAAAAAAAAACCCAGATTAGTGGAGTTAATGTTAGAATATAATAAACAAGAAAAATATAAGAATAATGTATGATTAATATATCTAAGCATATAAAGCGTAACATTTATTTATCTGTTGTTGTTTTTACGAAAGTGGTCGTAATTTTCGGTATTAGAAGAAAGCATTTTTGTAATGTTTATTTTGTTTATCTTTGACTAGTGGCTCATTATCGCCGATTTTTTAAAATCTATTATTAGTTATATTCAAAGATTCTTTTACAATATTTAGTATGAATTTTAATTCTTTAGATTTTTCTTATTTATTAATTGCAAAGTAACGTAATTTCAATTTTACTGAAAAACGCCTTCCCAGTTATAACGTTATATTGTTTCGTTTTTGCTACTAGTCAATTTGTTTTATTATTTATCTTTCAGTTTTTTAAATAATAATAATAATGATAACAAAATTTTCTCTTATACTTTATAATAATTTATACTTTTGTAGAGTAGTTTTCACAGTGGAGGCTTGTATTTCACTAAGTCGGTCCTAAATTAGGTTTGACGTACAAAACGTTAGGAACTTGCAATAATAGTTAATGGCGCAGCAATCTAGTTGTGGGGTTCATACTTTAATGTCCGACATCGACTGACTCACACAACTCACTGAGCTCCCTCGCCACTGCTACTACTACTACTTATTATCTGTGGGAGAGTCCATTTGCAATAGAAATAGGTACGTTCCGGTATAGCAACTTTGTAGCAACATATTGCACATTGATGACAAACTGTTTACTCTGACATTCAGTGTATGTTCTGTGTGTGTAGGTGGAAGTAGGTAGAAGTAGTACCTTTTTTACTCGGCTGCTCCCCTTATTATTAAGATGGACGGGCAACACTCGTCTTCAACCATCTCCACGCGCCAAAACCTGTAAACCGCTTCAACAGGCGGGCTAAATCACGTGAAATTACCATCGAAACGCGCTGCACTCTTCTGTGCAGTGGTAGTACCGGAGAGGTATAACTCCGTGATAATAAAACCTGAAAGGTGTCGTTCCTCTGTACGTCTGAGGGTC